TCTCTCTCTCTCTCTCTCTCTCTCTCTGGAGGTAGCTGGAGCTCAACAGTTTGGGAGCTGTTTCTTCTGAAATCCTGTTTAACTTACCTTCTGATACTTATACATTTTGTCACTTCTACGCTACCCAGTTCTGGCCCCTAGCACTCTTAGGCAATACCTCTGCCCATGGCCTGGTTCTGTCCCGGCTCCAGTCTCCCTCCAGCATGTGGCTCTATATTTCTGATGAGTAGCTATCTCCTCAAATTCGATAGACGTTTTTTCCTGGAATGTTTACTGAGTAACATTATCAGGAAACCCCACTCTCAAGGTCATCTAAGCAGTGAGCCAGTGAGCCAGGACTAGGGGATGGGAGACCCTTCAATAGGGCTACCAGTGAGCTGAGCAGGGAGCTCTGGGATGCAGCCCTTGTGAGTCACTGCCCAGGCAAGAGTGGCCTTCCCTGGGACACAGCTGCCTTTCAATCACCCCCGCTTCTGTAACTGAGCAATTCCAATAAGCTCAATGGCTTGCCAAGTTAGACATGCATGGAATTGTTTCTTCTGTCTGTTGTTAGTGCCCCATCTGGGGTGAATAGAAATGTGCTCACATCTCCCCAGAAAAAGTCTTGCAACACTTTCCATATACCAGACACAGTCCTAGGAACTGGGACCCAGCAGGGAACAGGACAGATAGGAATCTCAGAAGAGTATGTCCAAGTAGATCAGTGAGTGCTGTGGCAGGTATCTATAAACACTAAGAAGGGATAGAGGAGGAAGGAGGCAGAGCTACCGAGATGGATCAGTGGGTAAAGACATTCGCTGCCAAGCTTGCCAGCCTCAGTTTGATACCCAGTACCCCACATGGTGGAAGGAGAAAACTGACTCCTGTGATTCATCCCTGGAACTGCACATGAATGTCAGCCAGTGTGCAAGGCATGCAACACACACACACACATACATACATACACACACACACACACACACACACACCCCTTCAGAAGGTCTTATCCATGAGGGTGACTTTCTGGGCTGAGGAAGGAAAGGGAAGATCATTTGGAAAAAGCATCCTAGGTGCAGCTTCTCCTGAGCACCTGGCTCCTGGGGTCCCTGCAGAGTTTCAGGGTCAGTGAGGGTGTGGCTGGAGTGGAAGTGCACGGAGATCAAGGAGGACAGGAGGAGTCCGATGGCCTTGGAAGGTCTGGCTTCTATCCCTAGTGAGCTGGGAGTCACCAGAGTTATCCGGGAATAAGGCCGTATTCTGACCCTGCTCTGGTTCTGAGAACAGACTACAAGGAGACCGTGATGCTTACAGGGGGCTCAGGCTGGAAGCCATGACACAACACAGAGGAGGAGGAGGAGGATGATGACGGTGGTGATGATGATGATGATGACGATGACAACTGAACAGAAATGGTGGAGGAGGGAGGTTGACAAGGCTAAGAGGGACTGAATTACTGGCATGCACCAAGGACAAAAACCCTGGGATGGACTGATAGGCTGAGTTGTAGGTGTAACGGAGAAGGAGGAATGAAAATGGTTGCAAGGTTCTGGCCATAGTGACAGTAAAAAGGGAGAGGCTAGGACCTGAGACCAGGAGAAGGGAGGCATTGAATGTCATCGGAGTTCAGATCTCGTTTACAGTAAGACTCGCTCCTGCCTTCATTTCTTCTAAATCCTAGAACACAGTTTGGTGTCTCTTAATGATTAAACTTCCTCCATTTCTCTTCTCCAATTTCTCCCTTCAGAATTGGACCTTAAGGTACAAATCATGACACGTCTTTCTTTTTCTTCCTTCCTTCCTTCCTTCCTTCCTTCCTTTCTTTCTTTCTTTCTTTCTTTCTTTCTTTCTTTCTTTCTTTCTTTCTTTCCTTTCTTTCTCTTTCCTTCTTTCCTTCCTCCCTCCCTCCCTACCTCCCTCCCTCCCTACCTCCCTTCCTACCTCTCTCTCTTTCTTCCTTCCTTCCTTCCTTCCTTCCTTCCTTTTTTCCTTTCTATATAGTTTTTCAAGACAGGGTTTTTATGTGTAGCACTGACAGTCCTAGAATTAGCTCTGTAGACCAGGCTGGCCTCAAACTCAGAGATCCATCTGCCTCTACCTCCCGAGTACTGAGATTAAAAGCGTGCACCACCACCCCCTGGCTAACTCACTGTTCTTCACTTAGGCACCTTTTCCAACTCTTTGAGGTCAAGGACAAAACAGATTCAACTCTTTTGCTATCCACCATCTTCTACCAGACCAGACTGCTTCCCACTCATCAAAGGTCCCGAGAGACCCACTCCTCCTTTCCTAGTGACTGTCTGTGAAATAGGTCCTTGCCTTATGTGACATGATGCTCACTAGTCTCTCTGCATTTCTCATCGGACTCACCTCAGTGAGGGGCTCACATTCTCAACGAGGAAAGGGAGGCTCATAAAGGAGGCCATGTCAGAACTAGGTTACCTCATCCTCAGAGCCCCTCAGCCTCTGCTAAAGCCATTTTCCTGGCCACAGTGTAGGCCTATAAGCAGATTTTATGCATATTAAATATCAAATGCACTGGGATGGAAAGTTGATTAGAATGCAAGAGGTCTAGGGGCAGGAGGTTGGAGTTACTACTTACGAAGTAGCAGTATTGTTTAGGATGTTGAAAAACTCTTGGGAACAGACAAATGATGCTTCTGTGGTACTGTGATCTTTAGTTAATGTTGCAACGTGATACTGCTATGGGCTGAATTGTACCTTCCTTAGTTTGTGTGTTAAGTCCTAACTCCAGCTTTTAGGCTATAACTGTGGTTAAATGAAGTCACAGGGCACCCCTGGTTTGAAAGGATTAGAGTTCCTTATTCTTTGTACATTTTCCAACTGTGAGACTCTGCCAGTTGCTACCTATTACAAAAAGAAGCATCTCTCGTGAGAGTTGAGAGCTCCAGTGGTCTGTTGGTATATGGATAAGTCTTTGGAAGTTGGGTTAATATTCTGTCCACTTAGCAGAAAAATGGGGATTGGTTTGTCTTTAGAGTTTATAACCTGACTACCACAGCAATGCTGTGGTTCCAGTGACACTGGGTACGGGTTCCGACTTGTAGAGCATCCCTTAAATCCACTCAGAAAGTCTTTAATTGTTCCCACAACGCAGGTACCATTACTGCACCAGTGGGCATGTCCTTCCAAGCCAGTCGTTTATAGCTCAGGGTTTACATCTGAGGAAAGTGAATGCTTCCTTCCAGCACTATAAAAGCTGGCCAGTAAGACTTAGCCCTAAGTGGGACATGAATATTACACTCTCTCTTGCCATGTCTCAGGGGACTGCTGTGGAACAAAGGGGCAGAGAGACTGTAAGCAGAGGGGGCAGATGACTAAAGTAAAACTTGAGTGTAAAGATACAACAGGACAGTCACACATGTGAACTCACAGCAGTTGTGATGGCTCATGTCAGACAAATATCCCATTATGCCAAGGGAGGGGGATGGGCGTGGAGCCGCACTCTTAGCCTTGATGTTATTAACAATGAATAGCTGGGGCGGGGAGAGCCAGTTTTCTCTAAGGCGCATCTCCAGGAAAGTTTGCCATGCCCCAAGAGATAGATTCACACCCAAGAGTATTTGGGCAGCATGAAGTTGACTGGCTGGGATTTTACAAAAAGCAGGCATGAGAGTGAGTAAATTAGAAGCTGGGGGAGGGGCCAGAGGGAGCGAATCTGCTCAAAATACGTTGTATAAAAAATGTCAACACTAAGCAATAAGAATAGTATTTTAAAAATGTAAAAAGAGAATCCGTGTCTCCCTGAGATATCAGTTTGTTTGTTACTGTATCCATCTTCTCAGTTCCTGAGGGCAAGAGAGAAAGTGGCCATCAGCAAACTAGGAAGAGAGCTATACCAGAAATCACCCTACCTAGCCAGGGCCTCTAGCCTCCAGCATGGAAGGAAATATGGTTTCTATTGTCCATGACACATAGCCTGTAGCATTTGACTCTGGCAGCTGAAATAAACAAATATAAATGCTGTCTTAGGGTTTCTAGTGCTGTGATACGACAGCAGGACCAAAGAGAACCTTGGGGAAGAAAGGGTGTTTTTCAGCTTACAGCTCACATCACTGTCCATCACTGAAGGAAGTCAGGGCAGGAACTTAAGGCAGGGACTCAGAGTCAGGGCCTGAAGCAGAGGCTATGGAGGGATGCTGCTCACTCTACTAGCTTGCTCCCTCATGGCTTGTTCAGCCTGCGATCTTATAGAATCCAGGGCCACTGGACCATGAGTGGCACCACTCAAAATGGGCTAGGTCCTCCCCATATCAATAACTGGTTAAGAAAACGTACTACAGACTTGCCTACAAGCCAATCTTATAGAGGCAGACTCTCAAATGAGAGTCTCTCTTCCCAAACAACTCTAGCTTACGTCAAACTGACACAAGCGCAGACACTATGGGATTTGCTACAGAAACCTCTCAACACCCATTTTCTTAGAGAGAGTGATGCTTTGTAACAGTGAAAAGCTTACCCACTTTTCAGGTGTGAACTCCAAATACCACCTCCTCCAGAGAGTCATCCCTGATTGCTGAACCCAAATGGATTTTTGTGTCCTCTGGACTTTTAGAGTATTTGGCTCTAGTCTGTCAGGCTTTAAGCATGACTCTCGGTCATCAACACACCCTGTTCAACAGTTCAACACCTACCTGAGTTTATGCACATGTTTAACACAGGGCTAGCTGCATAAACGGACAAGCAAGGGGTTGTTCTCAGGCCTGTCATTCTGCAGTCACTTGACTTACAAAGGTCACTTGTTATTCCTCATCCTAAACTTCCCCAATCCTAATATGGGATTAGCTACTTTCTCCTAAAATCAATTACCCATGGATTATGTTCATTTTTAGCTTTTATATCCAAGTACGGAGAGTCAGAGGGAGGTGTTAAGTCATCCCAGGAAGGCTTCCTGGGGAAGATGGCACTTGACTGGGGTCTGAGGAGGGAAGGTCTAGGTAGGGGACTCAAGCTGCAACCGGGAAGTTAAGGCTCAAAAACAGGCACTCAGTGGGGTGGCCCACCTTGCAAACCCTGGAGTCGGTAGGTGCGGTGCTCCACGGACAGGCCTACTGCGCTGTAGGGACCATAGCGCAAGGTCACTACTGCTTTCTCTGGCATGGTGCTGTGTCCTGGCTGGGAGAGGCTGTCAAGGACTCTAACACCTGCTGCTAGGCAACCGTCCCTCCAGCCTTCAGAGAGGTGGGCGGGGCCACTGCTGGGCGGGGCCAAGGCTTTCCTGTCCCAAGTCCCCAGGCTTAGAACAGAGTTACAAGTATATAGCCTCTTAAACTAACTCAGTTTCCACCTGCTGTGGTGTTAGCGGTGACTGCGTGAGTGAGTGATTAACTCCCACCAGTTAGGGAAAGCGTGTGTCTAACTGCGCTGTCCAGAGTCGCCTAGTTTCATCGCTAACCATCCAGTTGCAGCCTGTATTTTGTATTAACTCCGCTGAGGTTCAGAATTTGCTAAGCCATGCAGAAAAGCAAGAAAGTAGAGTGAATTGAAAACTGCGTTTTCTCTCCTTTTTGACCTGTTTTGACTGATTTATTATACGTACATACATACAGTGTATCTTCATTTTGTTGAAGCCTACTAAATGCTTGGTCACCTTAAATCACCTCTCTCTCTCTCTCTCTCTCTCTCTCTCTCTCTCTCTCTCTCTCTCTTCTCTCTCCCTCTTTTTCTCTTTCCCTGGCCCCCTCTCTTTCTCATTCATTGCCACCCTCCCCAGACACAGACAACCCAGGGAGAACCTGGAGGCCCCATGGATGAGAAACCCCACTACAGAGAGGAAGCTGGATCCCCGGACACAGCCCCAGAGACCTGCTTTATTTTGGGAGAGGAAGAAGGAAACATTTGTCCCACAGTCCCTGAGATTCGTTTTTGTTTGTTTGTTTGTTTGTTTGTTTTTCATAGCAGTTAGCCAAGCCTAACAATTGCCTTCTTGTGAGTGGAACACACGTTTATAAAAATTCAACATAGCCGGTACCTTTGTACTCTTTATGAAGAGTGCAAAGATTAAGAACTCCTTCCCGTGAATTCCTCTCCCAACATATGCTACTGTTGTGTATTTTACTACTCCCCATGTGTACAGCCTGCTCTTCTGTGACACATGCTGGTTCATTCATACTGGTGAACAGAGGAAGGACGCCAGTAGAATTCTGAATCTCTCTAGTACACTGCTTCACACCGGCTGTGCAAGACCCAACTTCCTCCTTAAGAGGAAGAAAAGAGTTGATTCTGAGCCAAATACCAGAAACCATGGCCCAGAAATGTGAATTCAGGTTGCCCCTAATAACATGTTCTGACATAGAAATGGTTTTATAAACTTTTAAAGCCACAGAACAAAAGGAAGTCATAATTCAGAACATTTACCAAATACATTGGTGGGCACAGTGGGTGGGTGAGTTCTAGCAAGGTAAGACAACTCAGTGATAGGCTTCAAATGTTTGTTATCCGATGATATCTTAGGTTGACATTAGGGACGATAATCTTCTGTTAATATATTCCAAAGGTTTTACATAATATCTGACAAGATATTAGGTCAGACAGGGAAGTTAGCAATGAATGAATATTAAGAGGACTAACAATAACCCAAGATAATTTTGTCTCTGGGTCTGAACATTACAACTCTCTGCCATGGTGAAGTCCAACCAACCAATCAGCCATGCAGAATCCTTTACATGGGCATGGCTTTTTCTGGGAACTTCAGTTTACAGCACAACCCAGCAGCAGACAGTGACTCAACACACACGGGCCCAGTAAACTTGGAGAAAGGCAGACACGATATCATTACTCTTTATTCTGGTCAGTATGGCCTCATGCCTTTTGGAAGGATCTGATTGTGCTGGCTAAATTTCAAGCCAGCAACTTAACTCAAGCTATAGTCATCTGAGAGGAGGAAGCCTCCACTGAGAAAATGCCCAGAGAAGACCAGATTGTAAGCAGACACACCTGTAGGGTATCTTCTTAATTAGTGATTGATGGGTGTGTAAGCTCCGTGAGGCACCCGGGTAGATAGGCTCCATTCCTGAGGACCTCCAACCATCAGACTCTGCCAGAGAACACTTCAACCACTCATGTTGGCCAAACCAGACCCTCCAGACAGAGTGACCAAGCTCTGACCTACAAAGTAGAAAGCCTGAGGTGATCTGAATACCAGGACTTAATGTCCCACCAATTCCTGGGCTGGCCCGAGCTCAGGACTTGAAATCCCACTAACCCTCACCCTGGAAAGTTTCACCCTGAAGAAACTCTATATAAATAAAGCCTGCCTCCCACCCACTCTCTTGTGCTTTTCCCAGTAAATCTCTTGTGTGAGGTTTGTTGTGCAGTGTGATGCTGTGGTACTCCTTAGCTCCTGACTACAAAGATATCTTTCCCTTCAGAGCTGGACCATTTGCACCGGGGACACCTTTCCTATTAGAACTGTAACCCTTACTGGGGACAGTCCAGCCTATTGTGGGTGGGGACACTCCTAGGTTGATGTCCTGGCTTCTATAAGCAAGTCATGAGGAGCAAGCCAGTGAGCAGGACTCCTCTGTGACCTCTGCTCTTGCCTCCAGGTTCCCGATCCGTTTGAGTCCTGTCCTGACTTCCTTCAGTGATGAACAGTGATGTGGAAATGAAAGCTGAATAAGCCCCTCCTCCTCACGTGTTTTGGTCATGGTGTTTGTCACAATTTAATCCTAACTAGGACACTAAATGCTTGGTTTTTCTCTAAGCTTTGTACACTTTTAGAAGATAAATCTACCCCTCGCTGGGTTACTACTTATTGGATTATTAACTTTGTTAAACATGTCTGTAAGGATTTTACTATTAATCTGTTTTCCTATTTCATTTTGTATGTACACCTGTCTAATTGTGTGTGTGCGCACGCACTGTGGCATATGTATGAAGGTCAGAAGGTAACTTGTGAGCCACCATGACTGGATTCCACTACCTTGGATTTTGATACAGAGTCTCTCGATAAACCTGGGAGTTTACTGATTTGGCTAGACTGGTGTCTTAGTGTTTCATTGCTGTGAAGAGACATCAGGACCAAGGCAACTCTTATAAAGGCAAACATTTAACTGGGGCTGGCTTACAGGTTCAGAGGTTTAGTTCATTATCACCATGTAGGGAAGCATGGCAGAATGCAGGTAGACATGATGCTGGAGAAGGAGCCAAGAGTTCTACATCTGTATCTGCAGGCAGCAGGAAGAGAATGCCACACTGGCCTGGCTTGAGCTTCTGACCACCCAAAGCCCACCCCCCAGTGACAACTTCCTCTAACAAGGCCATGCCACTCCAAGGCTACATCTCCTAATGCCACTCACTAAAAGTAGTGGTTTCAATATGCTTGGCCCATGGGAAATAACATTAGGAAGTGTGGCCTTGTTGGAGTAGGTGTGGCCTTCTTGGAAGAAGTGTGTCACTGTGTAGGCTGGCTTTGAGGGCTCCTAATGTTCAAGCTCCATCTGATATGGGAGAGACAGTTCTCTCTTGGCTGCTCTCAGATCAAGATGTAGAACGTTCAGCTCCTTCTCCAGCACTGTGTCTGCCTGGATGTGGCCATGCTTCCTGCCATGATGATGAGGGACTAAACCTCTGAACCTGTAAGCCAGCCTCATTGAAATGTTGTCCTTTTAAGAGTTGCTTGGTCATGGTGTCTCTTCACAGTAATAAAACCCAAGATAAGACATTAAGCATTCAAATATATGAGACTACTATTCAAATCACCACTACTGGCTTGTTGGGTAATCCCCTAGAAACCTTTCGTCTCTGCCACCCCCAGTGTAGAGGTTATAGATGTCAATGTCCACTTTCAGCTTTTACATGGTGCTGGAGACGAGAATTCAGATCCTCACGCTAGCCTAACAGGCACTTCGCCCACGGAACCATCTTCCCAACCCCTAAATCATGTCTTTTCAGTGGTGATTTTATGATGGATTCAGTTTTATATATTGATCTTGTATAAGCTACCATGGTCTTACTTGTTATTCTTGATACTTTATCTGTAGGTCCTTTGGGGTTTTCTATGTAGACAATAACACAGTGTGCAAACAATTACAATTGTTATTTCCTTAATTGAATCTTTCTTTTTTTTCTTATTGCATATCACTGGCTAGAAATTTTACGGCAAAGATGAATAGAAGTGGTTACTATATATATTTTTTCTTTATTCTGAACTTGAGATGTTATCTTCTAATCTTAGTTTTCCCTCTTTGATTCTGAAGCTATGGCCTCAGAATCAAAATGTAGAGAAGTTCTAAATCTAGGGAAGATTGGCCATTCACATTTAACTTACTGTAACTCTTACTTGTGGATAACAACTTGATCTGTCCTGTTACATTCTAGTTTAGAGAAGTAAATGGATATGCACACTACGAAAATACCATGTTATACTGTTTTGCATTTCTTTTTTTTAAAAATACAGTTGAATTTTCCACATGTTATAAATATTATTAGTAATAGGTATAGAAACAAAAGACCAAATATGTAAGAAATTAGTATTCCATAGATTTTGTCTGCATAACCAAATTTATTTATTTGTTGGTTTTTTGAGACAGGATCTCTCTGTGTAGTTGTCCTGGAACTCACTCTATAGACCAGGCTGGCCTCAAACGATCCACCTGCCTCTATCTCCCAAATGCTGGGATTAAAGGCATGTGATACTACTGCCTGGTTTCATTCCTTATTTAAAAAAACATGGGTTCCAACCACTCTCAGTATTTGGGAGGTGGAGTCAGGAATCAGAAGATCAAGTACATCCTTGACCTAGGTAGTAGGTTCAAGGCCAGCCTCGACCATATGAGACCCTGTCGCAAAAACAAACCAACTAAAATAGAAAAAAGAAGGAAAAGGAGAAAGAAAGGAAAGGAACTGTGACTTAAGCAGTTATTTTGTAACATTGCTTTTTAAAATTTACTTTATGCACTGTCCAATGTAATATTGCTTAGTAGGTTTTTTTTTTTTTCTAATCCAAACCAACTGCAAGATAGGACACCTTGAAGATTCACTTAACCAGGAAGCATAGGTTCCTAAACTCTGGTCTCCTAGGTTACATGTTTTCTCTGTTTTGAAATAACATTTTTCATGTTCCATTCTTGAACATTAATCCTTTTTAAAGTATGTATTTTACAAGTATTTTTTAAGCAGATTGAGTTTGT